CCCATCTGCAGCAGCCCAGGCACTGCTCCCTCTAGATCTCAGCTCTCTGGCCTGCCCTGCCAGCAGGGCTTAGTCCTTCCAAGGGAAAACACAATTCAGAGAGCTCAAAGCTTTTGGCAAGGAGCAGCTGCTTGAGACTGAAGTCCTCTTTTCCAATTTTTTTGTTAGCGCTTGTCAAAAAGCTGCGTTGAGCCACTTTCAAAGCGGAAAACACCTTTTGCACAGTCAGCATAGAAAGCCATGCTGACTTACTGTCCTCAAAAGGGGTGAAATACAAAACCACAGCGTTTCAGCCAGTTCAATGCACCTCCTGACAGTAGGGCCACGGGGCCAAGGGTGTTCCATTGCACCCTCCCACCTCATCCTCCTCATGGCTCTGAGCCAGGGCCATTGAGACAGCTTGTGGCTGCTGGTGTTTAAATAGCTGGAGTTGACCTTTCCACAGCCTCACCCCACACCAGGGATCCCAAACACCTCCTCCACTTCTCGGGGCTCACCAATGTTTTTAATCTCATGGGATCCCTTGAGACACTGGCACAGGCTGCCCAGAGAAGCTGGCCCCATCCCTGGAAGTGTTCAAGGTTGGACAGGGCTTGGAGCAACCTGGTCTAACAGAAGGTGTCCCTGTCTGTGTCAGAGGGGTGGAACTAGATAATCTTTTAAGGTCCCTTCCAACCCAAACCAATCTGTGATTCTATGATTTTTCCAAGCAGCCCCAACAAGCTGAAAAAGGATCACATTAAACATGACAGTGAGAAAATATAAAAGCCATGGAAACAACCATGAAAAGCTGCCAGTGTGCCGAAGGGTCTGGACTCCACAGGATGGGTGTAGCCAAGAAGGAAAGCAGAATGCCTGGACTGAGTGTGTGCACCATGTGGCACACATCCCTTGGGTGCAATTGGGGCCACCACTGCACCTTGGCTCCTGCAAGCTTCCCTGCAAGAAGTGGAACAGCAGCAACAATTTCGAGATGCAGTATCTCCTGCTGGTATTTCTGTAAAGTCAATCGCAGCTGAAGGGTGTCCAAGCAGTTTTCTCTGTGCCCCATGGTGGAGAAACGTGGGTGAAATTTTGTATGGGAAGAAATGCCCAGGGGACATTCCTTTGCAAAGCCTCAAAGACATTCCGGAGAAAACATCAGTTCCTGGCCACTGCCAAAATCCTTGCAGCTGCCCCACACCATCCTCCAAGCCCCTGTAACAGCAGAAGGTACTCTGCTTTGTGGCAGGGCTGTGCAACATTCCTCTGACTGCCAGTGCCAGTCCCTGGGAGCTGCCTCCTCCTGCAGCCCAGGTCCCTCCTCTGCCCCCGAGTGCTGCCACAGGGAGGGATGGAAAAGTCATTCAGCATCCCTCTGAGCTGCTTCCCTGCTTGCACGGCTGACCGCCTCCAGCACCGCAGGCTCCCAACCTGACCACGGAGAAACCGGACCAAAACAAGCATTGTGGAGGCAGAGGGAAAGCAGCCAGCCTTCTTTTCTTTCTTTTATTTTTTTTTTTTTTAAAGGGATATTGAAGACCAGAGCAGAGAGCCAGCCACTGTGAAAAACAGCCACGTGGGGACTGTGAAAATCAGAGCTGAGAAGAGGAAGATGGGGAAGGTCTAATAAAGAGAGACACAATATACAAAATACACAAGCGCCCACCTCCGCCAGGAAAGCTGTGGGAAGGGATTGTGGTGTAATCCCTGGCTGTTTGAGGCTGCCCAGGCAGACACAGTCTGGATATGCAACTGGATCAAGATTAGGCCAAGAAAGCTTAGATTTGTTTGCCCTGTCAACCTGAAACAAAATGCTTTCCCCTTGCAGCATTTTTTTTACTACATGGAGGAAATTAAGGGAGGTCAGTTGGCTGTAAGAGGATCCTCCAGCCTCAGGTAGCTCCTGACCACATCCACACACCATATGGAAAAGCATCTGCTCAGTCCCAGAAAAATTTCCCAAGTCGCATCCATGCATCCAGCAATCTCAGACCAAAACCTGTGCTGAGCTCCCTGCCCACACTTGGCCCCATCCCACCACGGAGTCTGGGGCTGGAGAGTAGCTGGGTACAGCCAGTGCTGCCATTGAAGTTTCTCTTCTCCAGCCTGGACAAAGTTGTCCCAGATCCGTCTAGCAGTAAGTGGGGACAGAAGGAATGACAGAGATTATCTATCGAAGGGAACAAAGTCATTAATTACCCAGATAGGTTATGCTAAACTTGAGGGCTGTGTCCTCCCCACCGAGACACTCCTGGAGAAGCCCACTGTGACCTCTAAACTCAAAAAACACAATGCCAAGGCACAGCATCTCACAGGTTGTCACACCCAGCCCAAGTGGTCTGAAGTAGCTGTTTTCCAATCAAAAGAAATTTATGTTTCTTTATCGTTTGATATAAATACAGCTGTGCTGTTTTCCTGACCATGTTATTTCTAGAATCCTTATCACAGGCTCTCAGATAGCCACAGCACAGTCACACACTCCACAATCTTCTTTTTCTCCTATTCCCAGATTTTCCAAACCATTTATGTTCACAATCTCATCTGTTCTGAAGCTCTTCTACGGCAATGGGTGACACTGCCCTGGACCTCTACATCCGCACCGAACAGGTCAGCAAATTAACTTGCCTTCCTTTTCCCCTTCTCTGCCATGCAGGGACCTGACTCACAGTTAGGGATGAACTCAAATGTCACTTCTGATAAACATTTATTTTGCTGAGGAGCATGATGTGTTTATAGGCAGTGAAGTGGGCCAGTGAGAGGCAACAGGCATGCGCCAAGTCTTGCAACATCTTGACGCTTCTGAATACCTTGGTCTCCCGCAAAAGTCATGTTGTCTGGTCCTTGGGGCGTTTTAAACACGAGGGAAAAAATGCATAGAGGAAAAGGATCCCCAAGGTCTTGTGCTGGAAGAGAGACCACGTTGAAATGTGGTCAGGTGGCCTGCATTGCAGCAGCCTGGAGACCAAAGGGAAATACCCTGGAGCAAAGGGTCTAAGAGACGACAACAGCTGGCTGAAGGTGCCTTTTGTTTCTGTACTGCTCCAAGCCAATCAAAACCTCACCTGCCACAACATCAGCTTTAGACCACGGTTTTCATATCCCTCAACAGATTACCTGACAGGGTGGGGGAGAATTTAATATACAGTTTCTGTATCCATAGAATATTTGATGAAGACAAGCAAGTTTGACAGGTAAAAAGGAAGCCTCAACCCTTATGAGACATTTATGAGATATTTCTTATTATTATCCTCCTGAACCAAAGCTGTTATTCAGCAAAAAAATCAGCTTAATGGAGTGAATGGGCACCTAGGAGTTATGAGAAATCCAGCACAGACTGCTGCCAAAGCTTCCCAAGGGATGTGGGTATCTGTAACCAAGTGTTATGATCTCGATGCCAAAATACCTGGGCGATTCATCTGTCACACAAATGGTGTAAGAGTGGCATTCAGATGGCCTCAGAAAGGAGAAAATCTCTTTTATCTCTGCTCTGCATTCAACTCTTAAGTTTCCTTCTTCAAGCTGGCTCAGAAACACCAGGAGGACATTCACTCCTATGGTTTTACAGCATTTATTTGTCCAAGTCCAGTCAAGAACTTAAAAATGGAGAAGGGCTGTGATTTGTGTTCCCATTGAAGGGAAAATGTTGGTATTTAAAATCAGTTGAACTCAGTTTTGATCTGTTCTTTTGAGAAATGATACTTAATAAACATTTCATTTGTACCATCTTTTAAATTTAAACCAAGCTGCTCCCGTTGTTTCTTTGTGGGACTAAACAGAAAGTCCAACAGTCCTGATCTGGACTAGTCAAATCAGGTTTCTTCCAATGTTCTACAGTTCTGGACCCTAGACTTTAGTTCCCAAAAACCTGTATAGCTTTAATTCTTGCTTTTACAAGCTGCTGTGTTGCACATCCATTTTATCCTGACAAGAGGCTGTACCTCTGTACAAGCCTAAATACAATGATTTTGAGACCTTACCTACAGCAAAGACAACCCCTTTGTAATTTTATCCACCTTTATCCCAGCTGTTGACCACATTTAAATACCCTTTGATAAGCACACCGCCAGATACTGTCACACTGGACACCAAAGAGAACCAAAGGAGAAACCACTGAAAATGGAAATTTTCATGTGCTCATCCAGACATAACTTTCCCTGCCACCTTCTTTGCAAAACAAGTTTCAGTCACCCAGTTTCAATACACAGATTCAAATTCTCCCAGAACTTCAGCTTTGGATGTGAGTGGTAGCTGGCACTTCTCTATTTTTTTCTAGTCAAATGCATCAAAAGACAATGAGGAAGGCTGAATGATTCATACTCATGGAATGAAATGCCATTCACAAATGTTTTTTCCATAGCAATTTGTCACTTATTGTATTGAAACCACTTCAGAAGATGCATCTCAAAGAGCCTTTTGATATTAACGTGATTAAAACCATAATGCAATTGGGCAATCCCATAATATTTCTGTACGTTGTATGAGTGGGACCTCAAGTGACCACTTCATTCAAGCATCTCACAAATGGCTACTTCTAGCAGAAGGCTGCTAATTCTGCAAGATGCCTCAGATAGTTGTAGAACACCAAGGAATTAAAATCTTTTCATCTTAGAGGCATTTTGGCTCACCAAAATTCAGCTTTGGTGTTGGATCTACCCTACATGTCTCAAACCTTCCAAAATCAGGCAAGAAAGACGCACTTCCCAAGAGCTTCTCTGCCCACTTCAAAACTGATATCTAAAATCAGTGGGAATATTGGCCATCCAGATGCATCCTTCTCTTTGTTGGCTATCTAGACACCTACCTGGATGTCTATCCTGTTGTTACTCTCACATGTTGGTACCTACGTACATACCAGACTTGTTGCCCATATCTCTGTATTAATTTCCTATACCTGGAGCAAACTGTTAGGGAAGTACACGGAACTTTGCATTCACACAGGAGACTGCACTAAAAAATCCTTCAGTGAGATGTAGACAAAAAAAGGTCCTTCCAAAGTGCCAGCTGTCCCAGATCCCTACCTGCCGGGCAGTTGCATCGCTGGTGTGTGTCTCGAACTTCTCGATGTCTCGGCAAGTGGAACTTTAATTTCTGCCAAGAGAGGAAAAACAGAAAAAAGATTAATTTATAAAGGATTAATTTATACCATTGAAACCAAAGCCTCAAATTCTTGAAAAAGTGGAGCTGGGAGAGGATGCTGCCCAAGTGGAGATGGGAGAGACAGGGCAGAACAGTTTGAGAACGAAGAAAGGCAACAAAGTTCATAGTCTTTAACTAGAAATGCAGGGCTTGATTGAAAGCAGGCTGAGGGAGTTTCGTAATGGCCTCCAAATGTGGTCCTCCTGACAGGCATTACAAAACCAAGAGCAGGCAGTGGCAAATAAATTGGTGACTGTGTCCTCGTGACAAAGCTGCATTTCTCAGAAGACCCACTCAGTGGACAGAAAATGAAGATCGGAAGCAGGTCCTCTTCCACCCTGCAGCAGACTCCACATGTTTTTGGAGACACCTGGATGGACAGAAGGGTCCCACTTCAAGACTGCAGCTGAAGATGAACTGAAAACAGCAACAGCATCCCCTGAAATCTTCAGATGCTGTGAAACTTAATTTTTCCCCAAAGGGAAGAACACAACCTATCAAGACCTTCCACAAGGTGGAATTTTGTCAGAATGTTCATTTCATATAGGAGTTTGGGTTTCTAATGGTGCCAGGGTGTCAGTCTCCTGCTCTCTGGGCCCATCTGTGTATCTCTTGAAGGGCAAATAAAGTCTACCTGAGGTCACTGCATCTTCCCTCACTGGGAACATCAACAAAATTAACCCATGTCCAAAGCAAAATGTGCTTCGGGGTTAGCATCCTCACCACCCCTCACAGACTTTATAAAATAACTGTAATTTAGTGAAGAAAATGCAAATCAATCCAAATAAGTTATTCATTAATGTCTGTGAATCACACTTGGTTAATGATTTGAGAAGGCTGAGCTGCTGTGGTTCCTAAGCTTCAGAATCACTCTCTCTTCCCTCCTAACCTTCAAGCCCAAATTCCCATCCCAGCTGAGCTTTCCTGTTTTTTGAATTACTTCACAAGTGGGCCAATATTTCAAAAGAAATAGCCTCATATAGGGCACAACAGAAGCCCAAGCCCAAGTTCATACAGAAATTGCTTCATTTTCACAAGTAACTGAGCATCTTCCTGAAAGAAGGCATCAATTTGGGGAAAAATTCTTTAAGAGAGGATAAAAGTAAATCAATTTGTTTCTGCCTGGGATGAAAGAAGGCAGAATTGGCTGGAACATTTCCATTTTTTCATTTTGAAAAGACTGGCTTCCTCATTGCAAGTCAAAAGAGTAATGGTTGTTGTGACAGACTAGAAATCAAATATTTTCAGAGCTTTATTTTGCGTGGTAGACTGAAATGTTTTGATAGCAAGTTGATTTGATAACAGGGTGAAGAGAGGGTTTTAGGCAAGGAAAACTGCCAGTTCCCAATGGAAATAGAGCATTTCATCAGTGTTTACCTTCTCAGTTAAAAGCACAGATATGTGAATCTCTGCATTTGGGCACGTTCCCATCCTGCTGCCACCCCAGATGGCACAGCTCTGCTCCGCAGCACTGCCTGGCCCCTAACTGCTAGTGGTCAAACATGGGCACAAGGAAGAGAGCAGAGCCTTTTTTTGGATACTCACACTGGCATGTGGACACGCACAGCCCCATTCCCATCTACACACGTGCCAACCAAAACGTCCCAACAGGAGACTGCCACACTGGGGTGGTGTTCCCATGTTTGGGAATCAGGCTCAGACAAGGAAGGGGTGATGGCTTCTGATGGCAGGAGCAGAAAGCCATTTCCTATCCAACAAGTGTCCAAACACCCTGGCTGCAACAGGGGCCTTTACAGGACACAAATCTGCAAGGAAACATAGAACAGATCCCTGCCCCACCGAGTGCAGAGGCACTGGAGGGGCTAAGGGGGAATGGCAGAGTTAGGCTGTGCTGCAAGAAGCTTTGGCTGGGCTGCTGTGCAGGTTTACAGAGAGAGGAGCAGCATTACTGGACAGGGAAGTGATGACCCAGCAGGACGTGAGTGGGAACGGAACAGGGCCGATAACATTTCCCTGAGGCTTTATCTGCAGGGTCAAGGTAGTGGAAAGACCTGGGGCAACTGAAATAACCTTCTCAGGGACAGGGGCCCCTCAGGAGGGAGGTGCAGATGCTGCTGGGCAGGCTGGGAGCACAGCCCTGTGCACCATGACCACGCAGCCATCGCACACTTACCAGCATTTGAACATTCTCCCCCATCACTCGTGTCTCCCTCAAGCCCAAGAGCTCTGCACATCCCTGGGGAGTGCAGTGGGATTGTTCCCCTTTAGTGGGAGGCAAAACCTACCAGGGATTTAGGAGCGCCTGGCATTCATTCTCCTGCACAGTCTATTAAACAAACACTGCCACAGAAAAAATCTGCTCTTGGAGACCTCAGTTCAACTTTGGGTGGAGATGGTGAAACAAAACAAGTTCCCCAGCCTTTTCTGCTTCCCTCGTTTCCACTGTGCAAAATATTGCCTGGTCCAACACAAGAAGCTGGCTTTGTTCAGGAGAGCAAACCAAATGTACTTCTCTCTAAAAATGTCATTTCCAAGAGAAAACTTTCATTCCCAGGCAACAGAAAACCATTCAATTTTAGGGCAAGGTTGGCTTCTGTAAGCAAAATTTAAAAAGAAGGTAGGCTCTGGGAATGCAGCGTTTGCAATCTCCTTCCTGGGATCTGGGGTTTGCTTTTTCACCTGGGGGATAGCTGGAGCACGGAACATCAAGAGCAGCAACAGGCTGCCTTCCAGAAAGGTTGAAAACACTTCCTATGGAGGGGATTGCTTTGTCAGCAGAGCTGGCTTGATCTCCTCTGTGACACTATCCAGTGACATAACAACTGCATCTCCCCCCTATGCCATGGCAAAAAAAAACCAAAAAAAAATAACCCAAACAAGCAAACAAAAAAGTAAAACTACTGAAAAAAAAATCACTGCTGAAAAGAGCCTTTGCCAGTGCTGGAGCCACAGCTCCTCTGTGGGTTTAGGGAGCCATCAGGCACTGGGGAAAGGGAAAATCCCATCTGCAAGAGGGCAAGGCCAGGAAGGCCGTGCTGCAACACCCGCTGGGAATGGGCAGTAAAGTCAGCACGGGCTTTTCCCGTAGGTTTTGTTAACTCACCACAAGTGAGTGACAAGACAGAGCTGACATGGGTGGACAGAGCAGCGACAGCAAGACCACTTCTGACATGAAAGGGGCTGTGGTCTCCTAAACCTTGCAAGTGCCTGTCTATTTTGGATGGGCACTTGAGATTAGGTGAGAGGGAGGGCACTTCTTCAAAGGGGGCAGATTAATAGCTCTTTAGCATTCCCAGTTGTTTGCAGTCACCCGGGGAGGTGAAATCATTTCCCACCACTATCTCCAACAGCTAAGAGAAACACATTTTAAATAGATAATCTATTACAACCATCAGGAGGATTTCAGGGGTGGGTGGTTTTGTTAACTCTTATTGTTTTACCTCCAATTTCCCCGTTTTTTTCTTAAAGGCCCAGCTCCTAGGATCATGGGAGCATGTGGCACGAGCGGCAAGTCCTCCCAGATGGAGCAAAAAGCTTGGAAATAACACCACCTAGGTACAGCGATTGCAAGCAGCTGAAAGGAAATGGGACTTAGCTACCAGAGAAGTTGAAAGAAAAAAATAGATCTCCTCACTGTGGGGCAAAGAGCACTAAGTTAAGATGTAGGCAGGGGATGCTCAGAGCAAGCTTGCAAACCCTAGGAAACAATTGTGCAGTGTGCTTTGAGACATGGAATAAAAGGGGGAGGGAAAAGGAGTTTTCTGGCGTCCCTCTTTTGCTTCCGTAAGTAAGGAAAGAGTTCCAGGGAAATAAGACTTTTGGGAAAGCAGTGAGGGTCAGTGCTCCCTCCCCATTCACAGGCACATTCCTGAATCCCTTCAGAATCACTAAAGCCACAAGAAACACCTTCAACACAAGCCCCTGAGAAGGCTGAGGGGCAGCTGATCTCCCACCAGGGTGCACGGGATTACCTGCTGTTGCATCACACATACACATTTCTATCTCTACAAACTCACAAATTGTGGGATTTTTTTTTTCCTAGCAACAACACTGAATCCATCCTGTTCTCCACCCTGATGAATTCTTGGCAAATGAAACAGCACCAAATGTTACCCAGCATGGGAAAGGACCTTGTTTTCTTCTTTGTAAAGCTTTGCCTCTCTTGCAAATGCCAGTAGTGAATTTATTTCTGCTCCTTGTATGATTTTTATGATGTCTCATAAATGCAGAGGAATTCGAATTCCTACATGGAGTTAAAGTTCTCCCTGTACTACCTGTTTCTGGCCCGTTCTGCACAGATGTTTTTACAAGAAAACCCAGTCAATTTGAGTCTGGTAGAAAATTCCCTGGTGATACTCGCCTACACCAGGCAGAGGTTTACACAGTAGCTAAAGAAGCACTGGTCAGGCTGCTTCTGGGAAAGCATCTGCTGCCCTCTCCTCACTTCTCCTGAGCTGAGATGGAAACTCCGCCACAGCCAGCCACCGGTGCTTGAAAACCAGCCTGCAAGATCGAGAAAACATCCCCACCAGCTGCCTTAAAATTACCATCGTAAGCAAATCAACCCAGCTCCTCTCCCTGCCACTTTGTTTTATTTGAGCTAGAAGAAAGGTCTCTGAAAGGACTTTGGCAATTTGCATTTCTCAGTGCAATCTGTATGTTATCCCTTGCAGACCCCTGGGAACACTCAGGGCACACCTGGGCACTGCCATGGCCCAGACTGGAGGGCATGACACACTCCAGCTCACTTCAGTACAGATTTTGAGTATAACCTTAGAGCTCCTCTATCAGCCCTCACAGACTTTACTTCACCACATCCCTCCAGCTCATCTTCACAGCCACCAGAGCTAGAAATGTGCTCCCGTGCTGTGCCTCCCTTCCCACCTCCCTGCCCACCTCTGACCAGCTTTTCCTAAAGCTGGGGTTTCTTTAAAGATTTGCTGTTTTATTTTGTGATGGATAACACTGAGCTGGCAGCTGTGAAACCCATTAAGGTTGAAACACCAGGAAACTGTGAGGATGTGGCAATGAGAGGCGGCGAGGGTCTGAGCAGGGGGAGATGAATATCCCACTTTCACGTCCACCACAGCAAGCCCATCTGCAGACCCTCTCCCCCAGTCATGGTCAGCATGACTTATTTTGCTTTCCTTACTTTTTTTCTCCCATCCTTTCCCTGCTCCCTTTATCTACCCTGTTTTTCTCCATCCTTGCCCCTCACCAGTCAGTCCAGGGCCCCACTTGAGACATAATGAAAAGGAGGACCGGAAGGATTTTTCTTTCCTGATCAAAAGCCTCATATGGCACCCCACCATCTGTCCACCAGCAGCCCCTTGCCCTGGCCCTTGAGCTGCTTGCTCCATGCCAGTGCCTCTGGCTGAGTGTGGAGGTCTGAAGTTTTGATGCTGAGCAGAAGTGGGCAGTACAGTTGGCAAGGGTCTCCTCCCCAAGGGACAGAGCCCTCCTCCCCCATGGGCATTGCACCTTGTGACAGGTATAAAGGGACAGGAGACACGGGCCAGGCATCCCTCCTCCTCCACAGTCTCCAGCACTTTTCTCCAAGCTCTTTTAGAAGCTGTGGCCCAGGATGGAGCTGGTAACCCTGGTGGTACTCAGAAGCAAGTGCTGGCCCCTCGAGCAGTTGCTGCTGTCCTACAGCTGCTCCCCACACTGGCTGCAGTGGGGACTGTGGCCACCCCCAGGAGCACAGGAGGGGCTGCTCAGGAAACAGGGGTGCTGCTGGGCACACTGGCATCATGAGACCCCCATTTCCTCACCAAGTCGAGCAATAAAATAGTGTAAAGGTGCCGCTGCCAGCAGAGCCAGCAGGATACCTGGCCCCAGGCACCACTCCCAAGAGCCCTGCTGTGGCACTTCTTAAATCTCAGTAGTGATAAACTTTGGCTTCCCAGCAGACACATGCCAGCAGCAACAGAGGGATTGCTGCACTTATCCCCTGCCTGGTGGCAGGGAAGGAGTCCCCACGTGAAAGTGCAACCACAGGGCACAGATCCAATCACTCACAATGCTCCTGCCTCCCCAAACCCCTTTTTAAAGTAGGATATTGCCCCATGGACACTGTCTTTCCCTTATTCCGCATCCAAAAAGGCAACTCAAAACCATATCCTTCAGCTCCTGCAGTGTTTGCTAACTCAGGGCTCACAGCTTTTGGCTGCATACCCCAGCAGATCCAGGGACTGCTCTCACAAGACCCATAAACAGAAGCAGAGCCTGTCAGCTGTAGGTTTAAACTCCTCACCACAGACTTTCACTGCTCCTAGAAAGCAAGGGGGGAGGGGAGGTCCAGGTCACCGCAGGTGCCAGGCCAAGGCAGATCCCAGTAGTCAGCACCCTGATCATCCCATTCCTCACTTCATTTGGCGATAGCAGCCCATGAGGGATTTTTTTCAGATACAAACAATGTTTGGGCTAGCCCCAGGGATCTCTCCAGCATGACTCAAGCCAAAGCTAGAGTAAACAGAGAAAAGGAGAGGTGGGTGGAAATGGCTCCTGAATTTCACCCCCAAGCTTCTCCCAGAGCTGTGGGAACAGGTCAGTGGGGACCTGTCTGGAGAGTTCAGAGACATGAGCCACCATCTGCTCCCTGACACATGTCAACACCACTTCAAAGCCCAACAAGGCAAGGAATACTCATTGCAGCCAGAGCAGGGGAACACAGACAGCCCTCAGCATCATCAACACAGCAAAGTAAAAGGTGTCAGCAACAATAATCTGTGTTTTTGGGTCCTCTTTCTTGACCTGCTGCAGCCAGTAGCAGCATTCCCTCGTCGTCAGAGGAGAGCCCACAGGCTCAAGTGGAGTTTGGATGGGACTCAAAGTGAGTGTAACACAGCCATATGCTCTGCATTGATGCCCTGGCAGTACCAGAAACCATCCTGGCAATGCCAGTGTGTGTCATTTTCCCGAGCCAGGAGCTGTGGAAGGGGTCAGGGCTGTACAGCAGCAATGCCAGCCCATAACAACATTGGTGTGTTTGCAATTACCTCTTCCTGTAGCCTTGCTGGCTGCGACATGCCTTGCCTGTCCCTCTCCTGGGGCTCAAACCCATGGGTTTAACCTTTAGCTCTAATTCTAACTCTTTCAGCATGCAACACTCCTGAAGAGAAGGGCTAGAGGTTTTTGCGTCCCCACCAGGACCAGGGATGAGGTTTTCCTCTTTGCAAAGTGCAGGCTTCAAGCTACGGCATGGGCTGAGAAGAGAGAAGTAAACGCCAAGCAAGTTTGAGAGGTGGGAGGGACCCAAAGGAACAGGGAATTCAGCCTAGCAGCAGCATCACTTGCACAGAGATACATTTTTAAGGAAGGGGGGAAAAAATGGATAACGAGACCATGCAAGCGTGCATATGCCTAAAATCTACCATACTGCAAACTACACATGCAAAAATGAAAGAACACCGACCTCATTAAGCAGTTGGTCAACTCTTCCCAAAATAGCTGTCTCCATTTGGTCTGCTGAGAGCCAGGCAGGGAGCTGTGTGGGTCTGTCCGCTTCCAAGTGGGACACCCGGGACTGCAGATCGGAGGTCCGAAAGTACAGCAGGAGGCTCAGCACCAGAGAGAGCAGGGAGACGCCGGGCAGCCCCGAGCCCAGCAGGAGAGGGAGGCGGCAGCATCTCTCCCCATCGCCGCTCCTGGGGGGAGCCACACACCCCCTGTCAAAAGCTGCTTCGTCGACGCCTTTCCAGCTCTTCTCCTCCAACATTCCCTCCCTGTCCTGAGAAACAATAAATAAATAAATAGAATAAATAAAGCTTCACTCCTACTCCAAGAAGCACAATCCAGAAGGCATAGAAAAAGAACGTCGAAGGGGATCCCAGTGCCAGTAAATCACAAGTGACAGCAATAATGACAAAAGTGGACGGGGAGGGTGTCTTTAAAAAATAAAAACAAACCACACACACATAAAAGGGGTGCAGAAAAAAGGGATCCAACCGCTGCAAAGAGTGCGAGGGGGGGAAAAAATAATCTGATCAAGTTTTTTTGTTTGTTTGTTTGTTTTCTTCCTGTATTTCAGTCTTTTGGTTCGCTGGTAGGTTTTTGATTCTTTCTAAGCTGTCAGTTTCAGTTCCTTCGCAGACTGGCCAGGAGCTTGCACATGGAAGTCCCCATTAGAGAGAGGTAATTCTCAGCTGCTCCGGCGACGTTGTGCTCTGGCTGATCGCGGCTCCCCTGTAACATGACACACTCCCTCCGAACTACGGGGCTGGGATGAGCGAGCTGCGCGGCTTCCCAAAGTAACCTCCTCTGCTCGCCCTCTCTCTCCACCTCTCCCTTGCTGCATGATTTATTTATTTATGCAAAGCGCCGGGGTGGGATCGGGCAGTGGGACGCCCCTGTCCCGCTCGGTCCCCAAGCCACTTCTCCGCCGCCAGCCCTTCCCTTTGAAGTGACTCTCGCCGAGGTTATTTATAGTGGCAGGAAAGAGATTGTAAAGCAGAGGCTGGGCTCACACCAGCCTGCGTCTTCCTTTCCTCCAGGCAGCCGAGAGCTCTTTATGGGACGGTACAAACTGGCTGCCGCGTCCCCCACGCCGATCCTGGGGCAGCCCTGAGGCACCGGCAGCGGGGTACTTAGACCCCGATATTTTAAGGAGAGCGGCCAGGCAGGGTGAGAAGCAGAGGGAAACATCTGGAAACAACTGGCGGCTGAGGGCTCCGCAAGAAACAAGCGAAAGGCAGCAGGGAGAAACACCCCAGGCAGGCAAGCTGCAGTGCAAGGGGGGAACATCTGGAGCCTGATTTGGGGGTACAACCTGCCAAGGGTGTTCAGAGGAACTAATCTGCTGAGGCCCTCTAGTGAAGCAGAGCTTCCCGTCATCTCCGTGTCCCACCAGGCACAGGGCAGCAGACAGACAATCCCCCTTTGGCAGGGAGCAGTCTCCCCAAAACGTGCCGTGGGGCAGCTCCGAGCCACGCGTCTGGGAAACAAAGCCTCCTTCTGTTCCTCAGGAGCAAGGGAGGGCCACCTCTCCCAGTTTTTTTGAGCATAACCTACAATATTTTATCCTCCGGGGTGACATGCAGGCTCTGCTGAGCCCCTGCCTGTCTGTCTGTCCATTCTTTCATCCTCTCCTTGAGCACGCTCAGCAGTGAAGCAGCACAGAGCTCACCGTGGTGCACAGTCATTAAAACCCAGGCAGCAAATTGGTCTCTTAAAATCTGGCTCCCTTGTGGCTCTTTCGCTGTCATTTACACGTTTTAAATGAAGATTTTGCGTGCAGTCTGTGCTGGAAATTAACTGGCAGAGAAAACTCATATTCATCTCTGGCCTGGTCTCTGTTTCAGGGGGCTGGATGAAATAGACCTTCTGGGAGCAGGTTAACGCGAGCACGAGCTGTTTCTCCTCCACCAGACGAACCCTCGGAGGGCCCGGTAGCACACAGCCCCAATTCTTTGAATGGCCTCATGCCTTTCACAGCCACTCACTTCCAAAATGGGGTTTTAGCGTCTGCGAGGCAGGAAATCCTTTCTTTATTTCTTTTAGTGGGTTTCTTGTCATCTCACTGCTCAAATTTGCGTTGCTGTTCCGGCACGCATGGAAAACACCCCTCCGACGGCTGCAGCCTTTCAACAGTTTTTCATATGAGCGGGGCAGAGATGTGTAACCCACAGACCCAGCACACAAAGGGTGTCTATTCCTTTAGGAGGTGCAGCCACCCCGGCCTCCTACCCCCTGCCCAGTCTGTCCCTGTGTTAACAGCCTATTTCTTTATAAAAGGAAAAGAACTCTTTGAGGCCCTGGCTCTGCCAGAGGTAAACCACAGTCCATGGGAGTTACCCAAGACACCACCTGCAATCACAGCAAATAAGGGGACAGAGAAATGAAAGGGAGATGCTGAGAGGCTGATGATACAGTATTGGAGAAGCAGAGATCTTCTCGGGGAAAATACCAGTTAGCAACTGGTACTGAGTGTCCTAGACAGTGCTGCAGTGCCCCTAATGACTGGGGCTGAACTACTGATGACCGCAGCTACCTGCCTGTGTTGCACAAAGTTTCACCTAAGGCTGTCTCTCTCTCTCCCCCCTCTATACCAGCCTAAGCACTGAAATCACAAAAACACACCCTCTAAGCTAAAAATGGAAATCTGCTGGGTGTCTACATCTCATTTCCCCACACTGGCTGGGGAGAGCTCTGCTCTTCTGCACTGATTTTTGATACAGATCCTGCTGTCCAGACACGAGCATCGCCTGAATGACTCTGTAAGTGCCTTTTCCTGCCTCCCCGCCAGCCCCTCTCCAGCTGATCAGCTCATTTAGAGGGTATGTCATAGCTGCTGCACTCAGATGGGTTTCATGCAGAAGCCTTAGCTGCAGATGTGCAGGAGGGTAATTTTTCTATCCATGAGCTATTAAGGAGCTCTGTCATCCCATGCCAATAGAGATGAATTAATTTAAGCCACAAACCTGAGCCAGCTGCACACGTCAAGTCTGCAGCACTGCTCTACAAGAAAGCTGCCTCCAGAGACAGGCCTGGCATGTGGAATCATCTCAGCACTCCTTGAGCTGAGCACAGCCCAGACTTCAGCTCTCTCAATGGCCTGAGAGGAGGTGAGCGCTGGCCTGAAACCAGTCCTCCTGCAAGTTTGTGCCTCTCAAAGTTGGTTGAGTAGAAACAAATACTCACTTGCAATCAGGAGTGATTTCACTGACTGGTGACTGAGAACATCCTCCATACCCTGAGCTTGAAAGAGGCTTTATCTCTCTTTCCTCAGGGAGGTTGATGAAATTCCTTGCAAGAACAGTAACCACACGCTTCCGTCACTTCCAACAGGTCTTCCAGGGCAATTAAGGACCTCAGCACAAACATAAAAAGAACTGGAGCAAACAGAACTTGGATATAACCTCCCAAAGGAGCTGAAACTCCTCTGTACAAAGAAAAAGTTTCACATCTAGCACGTGGCACTGGATCAGTCGATCACAAGCAGGCATGGCAAGACTCCAGCTTGGTCAGTCTTGAGCTGGCATGGGCACTTTGTCTTTGTCAGGGACGTCTGTACGTGGGCAAAGCACCTCACAGAGTTTGCCCAGCACTGCTCTGCAGCAGACACACAGTGCTCACAGTATGTGGGGATTGCTCACAGGGCGGTCTCATTACACCCTAAACCATCTTTGACCCGAGGCAGGTACAGTGGACATGAACCACTCCATGCCACAGGCCAGAAATGGATAGAGCTGGGCATGGATGAGGTTCTTGCTTCTATGAACACAGTTCAACCCAGCGAGGTATCTACAACAGGTAGATTTTTCACCTGAAAAGGGATAGATAACAGCAGCAGGCTTTCCTCAGCTTCCTTCACTTAAAGACAAACTTCCATTAAAAAAATAACATGTTCTTCCTGTCACTAACTGCAAGTTGAAGCCAACTGGCTGAAGATGGCCATGTGCTCAATCCCACCACTAACCTTTCCCTTTTCAGACCATTTACTAGGGAGAAAAGCCCCACCCCAGTCCTCTTTCTGTTCTTCTGCTTTCCC